GTCCTTGTTACTACTAGTAAGGCACCTGTTACTAGTAGTAAGGCACCCATTACTACTAGCGTGGATGTGTTACTACTAGCGTGGCACCTGTTACTACTAGCGTGGCGCCTGTTACTACTAGCGTCCTTGTTACTACTAGTAAAGCACCTGTTGCTAGTAGTAAGGCACCTGTTACTACTAGCATGGCACCTGTTACTACTAGCGTGGCACCTGTTACTACTAGCGTCCTTGTTACTACTAGTAAGACACCTGTTACTACTAGCGTGGCACCTGTTACTACTAGCGTGGCACCTGTTACTACTGGCGTGGCACCTGTTACTACTAGCGTCCTTGTTACTACTAGTAAGGCACCTGTTACTAGTAGTAAGGCACCTGTTACTACTAGCGTGGCACCTGTTACTACTAGCGTGTCACCTGTTATTACTAGCGTGGCACCTGTTACTACTAGCGTGGCACTAGGGGGGCTCGGGGGGAGGGCGCAGCGCCTCCCCCCAAAGTCAAGCAAAGGTACTTGCTTCGCTTGTTGTTGTTGTTGTTGCTGTTGTTGTTGTTGTTGGATTTGTTGCTGCTGCTGCTGCTGGTGTTGTTGTTGTTGTTGTTGTTGGATTTGTTGTTGGATTTGTTGTTGGATTTCTTGTTGTTCTTGCTGCTGTTGTTGTTGTTGTTGTTGCTGTTCAACACGCGCGCAGGCGTCAGGGGGACTGATTGAAAACAAAGAAAGCTGGAGGGGGGCTCGGGGGGGGGGCGCCGGGCCTCCCCCCCTACGTCGTCGTCGTCGTCGTTGTTGTTGGATTTGTTGTTGTCGTTGTCGTTGTCGTTGTCGTTGTCGTTGTTGTTGTTGTTGTTGTTGGATTTGTTGTTGTTGATGTTGGTGTTGTTGCTGTTGTTGTTTCTGTTCAACACGTGCGCAGGCGTCAGGGGGACTGTTTGAAAACAAATAAAGCTGGAGGGGGCTCGGGGGGAGGGCGCAGCGCCTCCCCCGAAGTCAAGCAAAGGTACTTGCTTCACTTGTCGTTGTTGGATTTGTTGTTGCTGCTGTTGTTGTTGTTGTGGTGGTTGAGCAAGTACCTTTGCTTTGAATTCGCGGGGAGGCGCTGCTGTCTCTTTTTCACACACTCCGCTTGACGATTGCGCACGTGTTCCACAAGGGAGGGCGCAGCGTTTTTTTCAAGTCAAACTCGAGTGGAAGTGACGAAAGGAGGCGCTTGACAGCTGCAGTTTCGGAGGGGTAGGTATCTACAGGCGCGCGCCTCCCCATGCACATAGTACAGAAAAGGTTAGTGGATGGAGGTGTCGTCCAGCACAAGATGACAAATCTAGGTGAGACAAGGCAAGTCTTCCAGTTTCGGAGGGGTAGGTGTCTACAGGCGCGCTGCCGCTATGGAGCCAAGCCGCGCAACAGCGTGACACCCCCGCGTCATCACGGCAAGTGGGCGGGCGCAGCGTGCTGGGTGGGCGCTGTGTAAGTGGTCCGAGGGGCATAGGCGCTCGCAGGCAAGGGTCAAGGGTTAAAAAAGCAAGGTCAGTGGTTAAAAAAGAAAGGTTGGGGGTTAGAAAAAAGTGCTCGGGGGTGAGAAAAAAAGGGTCCGGGGGTTAAAAAAAAGAGGTCGGGGGGGGTTAAAAAGAAAAGGTCTGAAGGGTTAAAAACAATTGTTTTGAGGGGGTTAAAAAAAGGGTCGGGGGGTTAAAAAAAAGTGGTGGGTTAAAAAAAAGAGGTTGGGGTGTAAAAAAAGGGGAGCCCGCTGGGGGATAACACTGCAACCCTCAATGCTCCTGAGCGGCAGTTTTACGATGTTCTCAAGGGCAATGCAAGTCTTGCGCAATCTATGCAGGAGCAAAAGGATGCAATCGGATGCGCCAGTACTGGTGAGCCTAGAGAGGGGCATAGTGTTGTTGCGTTGGCTGGATCGCTAAGGGATAACACTGCAACCCTTGCCACAGCAACGTCGTTCCTCGAGCACTCGGGTGACAGCATGAGTTTTATGCAGCTCACGCAGGAGCAAACAGCTGCAATCAGATGGGCTCGTGTTGAGCAGGCAGTACAGCACAAGCAGTCCATTTATGATGTATTTTGCCAAACAAAATTTCGTCAAAAGAGACATGCTCCAGAGGTGGATTCGAGGCATGAACCAAGGCCCTGTGGATGAGGAGATAGTCATGCTGGCAGTGTGGCGTATACACCCAGCTCTGCCTGTAGTCTTTGACTGCGATCGTCTGCTCATGGCTGAGGACAATTGGGCCAGGAACTTCAGACAATACTGGCGAGTTAATGATGATTTCCGTGTGCCGCGAGTGGCAGCGGTGGTTCCACAACCTCCGAGAATCTCGAGTATGGAACCTGCGCAAGTGCATCTATTGGCCTTCGAGAACCACAAGATGCCAGATGATCACATGGCTCATCTGATTGACGTCTGGCTCACCAGTGAAGCTTTGCCGCGCACAGGGAGAACCTTTGTCTCTCGAAAGGCAGTGATGCGCCCTCGCACTTTCACGGTGAAGCAGATTGGTGCTTTGTTGCAACTTGATGAGCTAATGGATGCAGCCAAACAAGTGGTGGTCCTCTTCTCTTTGCGTAATGGGGGCCGCAAGCTCTTTTCCATTTTGATGAACAGTTGCGTGTTCCTGAGTTTTCCTTCCTGGATTTTGTGATGGTCAAGAGAGACCAACAATGTGAGCAGGGAGGATATAACGTTCAAGGGGATGTAGCGCTCCGTGCACCAAGCGAGGATAACACTGCAACCTCGAATATTGGCGAACAGAACGTGGATGGTTCAGACATCGTCAATATGATGCAAAGATTCGCTGTCTCCTCAGGAAGGCGCTTTTCTCGTGATTTGCTGCGTCATCAAGTTTGGAGCCGCGATCTCCCGTCACAAGCTGGGGAAGACGTTCATTGGGCTGCTTTCCAAGAGTTCGTTTCTAGGAACACAAACGTTTTGGATTTTGAGGAAATAAGAAGAGAGTTTAATGCCATGTGTCGAAAGGGGGCTGACTATGTGATTTTCACACTCGGGCGCGTTTCTACTGGTCTTGAGCACTCATGGTCGTTGATGTGCTCCTGGGGTGCCTATGACTTTCCGACCTTTGTCAGTCACATGAGGTTTCAGCTGTGGGACGCTGTCGATGTTGAACAGGAGTTCACGGCTGCTCGTGTTTTCCCACAGGTCACGCCTAGAGAGGCTGACAATCTTGATACTTTGTACATGGTCGGTATTCAAGAGCAAGACTCTCGTCTCATGCCGATCCTGGTGGTTGTTTGGACCATGTTGGAAGATGGGTACCATGTTGAAAGAATCCCCTTGGAAGTCCCAAGGTTGTTGCAATGTGAGCAATTGCTGCCAATGGTGGGGGTGGATGTGGTGTGCTCCCACCATGCTGTATATTGCGAGATTAGTCATGACTCACAACCATGTCGGCGTCAATCCTGGTTTGTCCAAGAAGGCATGAAATTTGCCATAGATGTTATGCCGGCTGCTATGCCTGAACAGGGGGATGGTGAAGTCTGTGACAGTGAAGTTGAGGATATGTCATTGGTCCAACAGGGTGCCCCGTGCAGTCACAGTAGGCAAAACATACTTGCTTCGAGCCTCACGGCTACCACTCGGCTCCAGCATCAGTGGTGCTACAGAGTCTGGTGGCATGATCGAGAGCACTGGTCAAGTATTCGCAGAGAGTTCAAGTCGTTGCATAAGAGAAGAGAGGATTGCATGATTTGCCAAGCCAGCTATGCTTTTCGGCAACAGCTAGGTAGTCGAAGCATGTTGCTAAAACCGGTGTTGCCATATGGGGCTAGCGCTGCTGATTGGTATATTGCTAAGCCAGGCGATGATGGTTGCAGGCTCTATCTTGCGCATTTGTTACCTGTAGGTAGGACTGCTTTTGCTACCCTGCTAGTCTGCCCTCAGTGGGAAGAGTCGAATGTCCAAACCGCATGTGCGAAAGCCTTCCCGGACAACCAATGTGACACCAGTGAAGAGTGTTGGATCATAGATAGTTTTCACAATACGTGGTACTGGTATG